CCTATAGTAACTACTTCCCCAATAATTTTAATTTTGCTTATTTATTGTATTATTTTCCGTATTCAATAATATGTAGGAGCAATTTGGAACGTGAAAAAAACGCCTGATAAATCTAAGCAAAACAAGGCCGTATTCTAGCCTTTCCCAGCAGGACTCGTCCGCCACCGTCGATGCAGCCCTACTGTTGAGGAGATAGGAGTGCGTCATAAGACCCAACATTAAACGGTCAATGTTGTAGCGGCCCTCCTATAGCCTACTCTTTTCTCTGAGGTTCACGCTGCTCCAACTGTCTTGAGCCGTATCCAATTCTCCCAGAGTAGGAGAACGAAAATGTTCCATCAAATTTCCTTTGTCATGCCACCCAGAATCGCCCTGAGAAGGGGCCTAGTTGAAATGCATGTATGTGTTTGAAAGCAACATGTACCAAGAATGAGGAAATTGTGTCGTTGAAACCTATGAATTAAAAGGAGCCGGAAGGAAGGACTGAATACCGCCATTGAAAGGTAGAAACGCCGAGTTATGGGAGTCCTATGGCGTAACTCTGTCTCCCCCAACCTTACGATAGAATCAGCGCAGAATACAACCCCAAGTTTCTTCCTTGTGAACACCCAACCCACTATTGGGTCACGCAGTCGTCAATCTATTAAAGCACGAAGAAATTCCAAGTTGATTTCAAAAAAATGGAAAAGTAAGAAGAACAGAAAATTGCTATGCGTTCGCGCAAAAGGAGGGCTTTTCGGCGAAGTCCATAAAAATGAACAAAATTGTAACGATTCATGTAGTAAGAACCCACTCGCACAGTCGTCATTGAATATGATTCGATTAGCTCGACAACGGGTGGTTCGGGTCGAACTGGATTCTGAAGCATGGCACGCGGCTTATCATCGCAAAGAATCGCCGGCGCCTCCTTTGAGCGTTTCTTTATGGAATTCTTTGATGTTTTCAGCCACTTAAACTGGAATTTCCGGCCAATCTCGAGTACACACGGCTTTCACTACTGCTGCTGACTTGGGTTTGTAGTTAGCAAGAACATCCCCAAACTTCTCACGGGTAATCCCCCGAGTAAATTGTCACAGCAGAAAAGCGAGTGATTCCGGGAGGATGCATTGGAGAACAGTAAGGGCTTTGCCAGTTGATGAAAAGGTGTCCAGTTTTCAAGTACAGCGATCTAGGCGAAGGGTCTGACTATTATGATAGCAGGAGCAAGGGACAAATTCTTGTGATGGGACTCGCTTTTTTAAGACCACCAAGACAACAATAATGTCAACAATGCTGTTGTCGGAAATAATATACTTTTATTCAGCTTTTCACAGTTACTGAAATGAATAAAAGAATAACTGAAAAAAAATAATCAGGGTGAGATCTGCTCGTCCTCTGCAGCGGTGGAGTTTGAGTGTATTTCTTGCCACAAGGCAACATATATACTCTGCTGGGCGGTGGGAATAGTTAATGTAAAACTAAAATTGGGAGTAAGTCTTGCGAAGGATGGGATCTCGCTTCTCGCTACCCTGACGAGAGAGAAGGCACCCTGATCTGCATGCTTTCTCGTCCCGGAGAATAAAATAGAAAAATGTCTCGGATTCACCTTCAGAGCACGACCTCACCCTAAAGGCACAATTTGGAATGGGGTAAGCAAAATGCTCCGGATAAGCCGAAAGTTAGTAGAGGTCATAGTTGAGGCGATGCGAGGCGTTGCCGTAGCCGAAATGCCCCAAAGCGATGGTCGAAGATGCCCTGGGTTGTGCCACCAACCCAACTTTCATGGTATATTTATGAGCGGATTCTACAATGTAAAGCTTATTGGGAATAAGGGTGGAGGTGGTCATTGAAGTAGGAGTGAAGAAGAAACCGCGTGAAACAACCTGGAATCCAAGAAAATGGGACCCCTTCCTTGCCCATTAATTTTCGCATTGATGCGACTTTCATCGTGCCCTCTTCAACGCTAACACTCTCTGGTATGTCGGTGGGCGTTCCGGGCCAATTGCGCCAAAGGGAAGGCCATGCCAGATCGCCGGGGGCATATCCTTCGATGCGAATTGCGTGTTGGTCCGCACCCTTAGGGGTCCGCCTGTCTCTCCACTAGGTAAGTTTCCCCTTCTTCGACCTTCGTTCTTATCGTGGAATCCCTCCTTAAGGGTTCAAAACCTATGTCTCAAACTAACACAGTATGGAAGGAAAGTGAAACTTATTCAGATACCTACTTCAACTCGGATATTTCAGCTATTTGAGAAAAATTGGAGCGTCTACTTGCGCTTTGTTGAAATTGCAAAGAATCCTCGAAAAGGTACGGAGCTGTGGATGCGGCGTAACAACCATTTCTCTTATTTTACCGAGTTTGGGCTGTTACTTGAAGGCGGCTGTTGTTGGCTTCCACTCATGAACAGGTAACAGCTCAGAAAGCGGACGTATGAACGAGTTCACCGCAACGCGTTTGGTGGCACCATGCCAAACCACGCTCCAATCGAGTTGCTCCAGTTGTGCCGCTGCTGGCAACGCAGCTCCAAATCACCAACTAAACTAGTGGGCGGATCGCTTTTGGGGGCGGAGTGCTTTCGAAGTCCTGCTCAGCAACCAGCGCACCTTTCGTCGTGAAAGCGCCACACCTCGCTTCCCTGGCAGCCAAGTAACTGGTTCACATGCTTCCCCGATGCGCTCCCTCTTTATCGTAATCGCTGCCTTAAGGTAGAGGTCAGTTGGTGGCTGTATATATGCATCGAAACAAGTTTCTGGACTTTCCAGAGATGCGTCCTCTTTCAGTTAGGGCTATGCATCCTAGTTGAAGTGACTGTACCTGATATATCGTAGCATTCTCTTCGATGAGTCGAACAATCGTTACGCCGTCTGTTTTCAGCGTTTTCCTACAGAACTCGCTTACTTCTCTCGCGTCAAAATCGTCATTGATAGCCGATTCCTGGAAAGAAGAGGTATACAATTCGGAGGCCAATAACTGTCTGCAGCTTTAGAATATACAATTCAGAGGCCAAAATGACTGCAACTTATAATGATACGAAGGTCACAGTGAACCACAGCTGGAAGGAGGCAAACATTGGGATGGAAATGAGGGCTTCACTGAAAAAATGTTCCAAAGGAAGCCACCACATTCGGAATGAAAAGTATCTTTGGCCAGATTCCCCTGGAAAGTCAGAAGTTGGGAGCGGAACATAGTCAATTTGGAGCGTGCCTATTCGTCTCAAGCACTCATGTTTCCACACCCGGGAATTCATCCTCGAAGTGCGGCATTCATTACAACTCGGGCGGCGAGCAATTAGGATCTTTGTATGATGTCGTTGGTTGAAAAGCATCGCCCCCGGTGCCGTGGGAGTTGTGGTTTCTTGCTACGCATAGTAGGCCTCACCAAAATGCAGTGGCTGGATGAACGATCCTGTTGTGTATTTATTTTAACGAGAGGCGATAAGCATCGGAAAAGATTCAGGATGGAGATGAACAGAAGAACGCAGAACCACCACCATAGAAACACGAAGATCTTCTCGTTGAACATGTTGATCTGCGCAATTTTTGGTGTACTCCTTTAACTTAGAAAATAAAAAAATTTGGCCAAAAATCCATGTCAATCAATACCATGAGGCACGCCTGCTAGGACATCTGTGGACGGCTCCACCTAGTTCACGAACTTCAAGATCGCAGAAGGTCACCTGAAAAGGCACCATTGCTCACATATACTCAGTTGTACACAAAATTTCCAGTCAGGATCCAATGACAAAGATAATGTGCTGGATTTACAAAAAACATTTTGGGATGCGCAGCGCCACTGTTTCCCGTCGAAATGTAAGCAAACATTGGTTATGTGGAGGAGAGAGAAAAGCTGCTTACCACAGCTGCGTTTCGGTGGACGGCGCATCAACAATACTTCGCACGGGATCACATCTGTTCAGGTTAGACTGTTTTTTAGTCACATTGTGGCTTGGCGAGATCACAGGAGACCGAAACCGCTCGGCAGGAGACTAAAATGGGCTTCACCGGGCATTCACTCACTTTTCCTTAAGGGTACATTCCACAATAAACTAGGTGCGTTAATCCCTCCTGGGAGAAATACAGCGCTCGACGCTAATTTAGTTGGGGGGGGGGGCAAGCGGCGGCGCGGAGCGCTGTTCGTCTGTTTCCTCTAGGGCTTATTCCAAGGAGCAGTTACTATTTCGGCCACGTGGCAGTTTCGGAACACGCGCCATCGACTGGACTAAGCCTTGGAGGGTTAGCACCCAGCGATCTTCACTAAGGTAAGAATGTGCCAACTTCGCAGCCTAAATATGCCTGCTAAATAACTGCGCTGGAAACTTTTTACTTGTGCTGTGTATGTATCCGCTCTTGTAAGAAATGCAACAGTCTGTGCAGCGAAGTGTCTGCGCCTCGCTTATAGCTGTGCTCTCTGGATGTGCTCTCGTCTTCATGCTCACTGTCTCTTCATCATAGCGCTGTCGCAATTGCTAAAACGGATGACTGAAGTACATGAGACAAGACAGCGGTACTGCAGTGACTTGTCCTCCGCATTGGTTTTGTTCAGTCCTCTATAATTTTTGTCCATAAAATATTAAGGTCATTTTTACAAATCCGTACCCTTGGGAAATTGCCACTTTCTTCCCATTGTCGGCCATTCAACACGTGCTGTGTGCTTGTTGACCACCCGTTAGGCTGCAGAAATCGCGCCATAAGAACCATCAAGAAAAGACTTGGCCGACACACGTCACAGAGCATTTTCGTAAAGAGCAGAGAAAGTGTGAGTTTATAGCCCCATGCTCCTGAAAAGGCAAATGGTAGATTGTAATGGGCCATGATTTCAGCCATTAGGCGGTATTAAAACAAATATGTAATTATGTAAGGAAATACCATACCAAACTAGACCAAATATGATATATTTCAGTGAATTACAATATTTTATCACAAATTCTGAGAGGGAAAAGATTGCCATGCAAATTTGAGCGTACCTTGTCTAGAATAAAATATTATGACGCTCACCTACCTCTTCGTGCCGGTCTCATAATCGAAGCCACGTTCAGAGGATCAGATATCCTTTTTGCTTCATTACGTAGTGCTACCGTAACGCTTGGAAGGTCAATTTCTGAAAATTTGGTCATAAAATCTTGTAGAACCTTGAGAGAAAGCCTCGAGCAACGCTTCTTTGAAAGCTTACTTGTTAAGAACTGCAGTTGCTTCCAAACAAGCCGTGGAAGGTAGAGAAGGAAAGCTTGCAGTAGCAGTACAAACGGCACCCACTGAAACACAGTGACCTTCAAGTTCGAGTCAGGACCATATTTTTCGATATTCGCTCCAAAACTCTCGTTTTTCCCCATATCAGCATAGTGGTATTAATTTTCAGCTTTTCCTTTTATAGTCACTAGAGAACAATCTAAGGCGCTTAAGCACCGGGGAATGGTAGGAAAAATTTAAAGACTAGAGAAAATGAGTAAAAAGCTTTCCGTCCCCTGCGAATTCCTCTTATATTCAGATATATATTGCTCGCACGTGTACGAAAACCAGTGGGCAACTTTCGGATTAGGTGGCGTTCCAATGTTTTGTTTGTTTATTTGTTTATTCACTTATTTATAACTCCAGTGAAAGTGCCAGGACAATTGCCCACTGTATCTTTTTATTTTATTTATTTACTTGTTTTTGTTTGAACTGCTGTTTTTGGCCGCAGTTCGCCTTGCGAATGTTTCACAAGAATGCTGGGTTGTGAACAAAACTTTCGCCCCAGGCGGGACTAGAACCCGCACCTCTCGCTTTCCGGGCAAGTGCGCTACCAGTTACGCTACCGGGGCACCATTTCATTCCAACTCAGCTTTTCATGGTATACGTACCCATAGCTTGTCAGCACTCACACGTATAAAGTTTTGTTCACAATCCTGCATTTATTTTTTCTTTTTTCTCAAAAATTGCCTAGCTTTTTGCTGGTTGCCATTTTGCACCGCAGAAGTCAATAGTTTGCATAGTAAATTGACTGACAAATTTGTAATAAATTGATTAAGAAGAATATAAACTCACCTGGTAGTACCTAATCTCTCCGGTCTTCTCGCTCCCTCGTATCAGGCAGATTTGAGTCGTTCATCCGCACAAAATATGTGTTCTCTATCAAACAGTACTGCTCGGCGTACTGCTCCCAGCCGCCCTAAAGCCACTCTCAGACAGTTCAGAGTATTTCGTTCATGTGATGAAGGGGTTCCTAGCTTTTCTCATGCGTTCGTGGCAAAAACTTTTCACAAATCTCAAGTGTACAAAAGAAAAACATTTCCTGGAGGCGAAAAACGTCCGCAAATACGTACCGCCCATTGTTTTGGCGCCCAGCATTGAATCGGTGCACCAACATATTCGTGGGCAAATATGAGGAATGCCGTCCCACACAGAATCCACGGAGTGTAGACGTATTTCAACCTATAAGCAAGTTTCAAGATTCCCTCAATATTTTCCATTTTTTCTGCTCCCTTAATCAATGTTCTTTTTCCTATCGGATGCATCCATGAGAAACGGTAAGTTTTGTCCAGTTACTGAAAATAACTTGCGAGCAGGGTCTATATTTCCTCCTACAATTGTTACGATAACAACGGGGGGGGGGGTTGTACCTGTTGAGTTTGTAGGAGGGGGGGGTCGTACCCACTTTAGTCGCTCGAAATCACGTGTGGGATTGAGGTGAAACTAAGATTTCGTGGGTAGTAGGCTGGGCGAGTGGAGGGCGCGCAGGATAAAAATTTGCCGTTTCAGCGGGCGTATATTAGTGGGAGTGTAGTTAAGAAATGGGTTGAAATGGCGGAAGTAGAAGGAGATTTACGGTTCCCTCCCCCACCCCCCATCCCTGAACCTCGATGGGCCTTATGAAGATAAGTGTGGTGCGAGGCTTGAAAATTAGGAGATGAGATGTGGAGGTGGGAAAAGGGGGTCTATCCTCATGTTGGATAGGGGGTCGTAAACTTTATCGAATATTAGTAACAGCGCATAGACAGACCCCTGCTTGGCCAATCCCAGAGCCCCAGAAAATCTGTTGAGTGTCTATGTCACTGCGATGATTTCATCTATCTTTTTATTTTTTTAGCAAAAGCAGCATGAGAAGTTCTCACCGATCCGATGAATCAACGTCGTAGGTAGGGTCTAGGTGTCCAATTGAATAATACGCTCGTTCGAAGAATGACATTCTGGAAACAATTTTGAAAATGTTGAAGTAACTGTTGATGTAATTTTTCAAAGAAATGCATGGGAAATCGCCACTGCACAAATCAATCAGTAACACTGGAATTAAATATTTTTATTTTCAAGAAATCGTGAGCAATTCGTGGCGGTCTTCAAGATGGGGGTCTTCTAGCTGTCATGAGCCGCAGTAGGAGCATCTGTAAACATTCAGGTTAGTCAACCTCTTTAAGCGGGCGGTATAATAACAAATGCAACAGATTGTGAAATAGAAATAGGTGATGAAAAGGAAGGCTGCCCATATTATAAACAGTGGGATTTCTAAGTCGTCCATGTGCCTTCATATAAATCAAATTTTATGGAATTCTTAATGCTTCTGATTTCAATTTTACTTATTCATTTTATTAATTCTTGATTCCTTGAGTTCTTAATTTTATATGAATTGAATTCCAGTCTTTCGACATGGAAAGTTCAAGCTTTGTTTCATTGTCAATAATAACAAAAATTCCACACATTTCAGAACGTTTCACTGAGAAACGGTAGGCAGAAATTGAGCTGTTGAGCTCTCAATTCGAGGTTTGTTCAGGATGAATAGAAATCTGACGACTCAATGATGAATGGCTAGGGATCATCCTATTTTGCTAGGGCTCCCTGAGACTTCAAGTTAATTGAATATGACAAAAATGGGTACTTGGATAGTTCTCACTCCATAGCTGGTCGTTCAAATGCAGCGCTTCGTCTTCGGCTACGGTAGAGATCGTTTTGTCATCTGAACAGACCTCGCTATGTTGGCCGCTTGAAACTTTCAAGATAATTTTTTAGCGGAGTATTGTTTTATTAGCTTTTTGTCTTTAGGAAAACCTTCAGGCAGACTCTCACCAGTTTGAGGGAATTTCGAGATCCAGAGCTGGTGAGCAAGTTCTCCAGACTGGAGACGACCACCGTTGGCGTCGAGCAGCAACAATACAAGGAGACCGTCGTCCTGCACCACTTCCCGGTAGAATTCGTCCCGCTCGGCTTCCGTCGTGTCAAGCCCACAATCCGTCTGAAAGAAAAGGAGTTGTTTCAGGTGGTTATTTTCCAATCTGAAGATAACCTTACCAAAACGTTGTACAGAAAAGTCTTGCGGGCCGTTTTGCTGTATCGTCGGCGAATCCACGTGCACAGGTTGATGGAGGTGCAGAAGAGTAGCATGGCGAACCAGAACCACAGGAAGATGAAGATCTTCTCGTTGAACATGTTTACCTAAAAGATGCGAGAGAATTTTGTCCTCTATCAAGTAAACAAGAAGGATTATTGAGGAATTTTGTTGGAATGCGCCATGCATCGAAATTCGTTCGAAATTCGTTGAGAGCGTTGGATGAATACTTGCCCTACGATCTGAATCACGAGCTCAGGCGTTTACCATGATGTTTTTGCTGCCACAGCCTGAACCCTTATAAGCTAACCACTTGTGAAAGCATAGAATGACTGGCTACGTGAGACATGATCCGGGAGACAGAACCTTTAATTACCGCAACCCTTGAAGGTCACTCCTTGCAACTGCTCATCTCCGCTCCTTGATTTTTCAGGACAAGGCAGTTCATAATTTTCGAAAAGAAATTCCGGACGCTATCGCAAGATACGGGAGCATTATGGTGGTTATGCTTCCAAAACCGCCTGAAACTTGTCCCTTTTGTTAGAAACGGGACAGAGCGTTAGACGGGGTGGGGAAGCATCAAGGTGTGGGGGCCACATCTATTTCCACCACAGTTCCTACCCCCTTTCAGGCTCATTCTTAGAGGATGCCCCGTATGTTGCGATAACGCCCAAATTCCGTGTAGATAAGGACTTTCATGAAGAGTTCAGGGCAATGCCCTCTCTTATCAGAGGATGGCCCGGTATGTGCGATAGCCCAAATTCTGTGTAGAAGGCGTTTCATTCGGGAGAGTTCAGGGTCAGTGGTTAAAGTGGCGGTAGATTGTTGATATTCAAAAATTACCACCCAATGTTTCCACGGCCCCTCACTTTGTCAGTGCATAGGGGTCAACATTCAATGTAGCGACGGGGTTCTAGGCTTAGATTTGTAAATATCAAATGAGTAGGGGTATCTTGTTTGGGGAATGACCTAGTTCAGCAGAGTCCAGTTATTCCATACACCATTAAGACACACTGAAACGGTCCAGTTGTGACGTTGCATTCGGGGGGTGGACGGGTCACATCACAGGAAGGCTACTGGAAAGATGAGCATAGCCATCAATGATGCGTGCGATGTGGCTATCAGATGACTTGGGGGGGGGCAGTGTTTTTTGCCTCCAGACAGTCGCTACCAATTACGACCCGGAGGGAAGTTAGGTTTGGTAGACGCGGCGACTCGACGGTCCAGGATTTGACCCCGGGACCCTTGTGGTAAGCGGTGTCCTTGCCACTATCACGATTCGCGCCAAATGTGTATAAAGCTGTAATACACAGGTCACTGGTGTTTTGTGTTTTTCTGGCTGTGTTGTTCCTTGAGGTACACAGTTGATAATGTAAATATCAATAGGCCATACTAATTAGAATTGATTTGATTGATAACGTACATATTAGGTCGGTCAATTCGTCGTTGCTGAGCTGGAAACTCTGAAGCTCTGCAAGGGTTCAAACCACTGTGCCTTAAATTGGAAACCGTTGTGCTCAAGATATTGTTGCCTATGACACCCATATGAATGTATCCCATTCGATCAGCCATTTTAATTATAGGGGATAAAAGCGGTCGGGGGCCGACATTTTTCTCAAAGCGATTCTTCTTCAGGAATAAGAGCGTTGAGTTGGTCCCTCCTCGGAGACATTCCTGGGTTATATGAGATTTGACCGCAAAAACTTAACGCTTTTTTAAAGTTGATTTTTTACTGAGCGCCTTTTTTGGTGGGCTGTTTAGCGCAATCAGTGGTTACCTAACCCCTTCTGTTCTTAGAGCAGAGTCATCTCTGCACCTTCCCATACATTATGTTCTATTCTTTACTGCAGGACGAATACATCTGACCATATCAGCTACGGCGAAAGAGTACTAAGAATGAACATACAGCGTGGGAGAAAATTAATTGGAAAACTTACAGGGGGCTAAGTATTCAGTTTTTTAAAGTGAGTGTACGTTGGATTCAGGGTCCAGCGTCAGTCTGGTCTAGAACTTGGATCCCGCGGTAATGGGACCGTTTTTGCAATTTTTGCAAGACATTGATTTTACCAGGGCAGGGAATCAACTAGTGGTCCCCTAAAGAGACATGAGCTTACGGTATTAACCACTTGGCTACTTCTGCTCGTTAGGGTAATATGGGAGCGGTGGCGTAATCAACAAACACCATAATCGCTAGGTTATAAGTAGGCTTAATACTTACTATTAGTGCGCGGGTACTGGGAATATTAGGATTAAGCGATCTGCGGTCTAGTTTTCTCCTCTTCTCTTCTCCTTTGTAAATCCACGCGTCGCGAGGAACGCAGATCTTTTTAGGTGCTGCCACTTTGTCGTATCCAGGAGCACCTTCTCCAGTGGCCCGGACATTGATGAATCCTGCTGATGAGTTTTCCCCTTCACTTTGGACTGCTTACAAGTCGCCTGCTTAGACTGAAAACTCAATGCTCGCTTCGAGATATTCATGGCGGCCTTCTGCGCACGTGTCTTACTGGCTACACTCCGCTATTTTCGTAATCCAAATGAAAATGTCAGTAAGGGCTGAGGAAGTTGGAAAGGCAGGTCTATTGTTGTCGTCATGGCTCTCACATTTCCGAGCATCTTCTGAGCACAAGCTGCTCGGTGTGTTACATGCGCTAGTCTCCGCGCTCGATGATCAACTACTAGAAATGGCTTGTCTCCAATTCATGCTTTCGATTGCCTCGAGTATGCTGGGACTTGAAATACTTTGAATGAAGAGATCGCTAATATATATTGTAGAATGAAGGAGGAAATTTTTTGTAAAAAAAAACGTCAATGGAAAAATGGCAATACCCTGGGAAGGAAGTGTCCACTCTGTTGCCATTGTCTGCCTCGAAGCATGTCTAGTGCGATGCCAGCTCCCCAGAAAGTATATTCGGTGCCGAGAAAGTGATTCAAACAGAAGAACTGTAGCAGCAGGTTGGCGAATATCAGCACCTGAAACAGGGCACTTTTAGGTGGGTTTTCATGGATTATGCCTTTATTTATTTCGTTTTTTTTGCACATTTATTATCCTAGATGTCCGAATTCACTAGGAGGCTGTAAAATATCAACATTATATATAGTTTAATATAAAAATTAAATTTGGAACCTTCATCACGATGTAGAGGTTGAAGAGACCCGAACCGTATCGAACCACCTTGGAGGTGTGCACCTTGCGAAGGGTGTTCGCCATCGTTCTATAAATCAGGAGAGGATTTTTATTCTTATTTCCTCATAAATTGGTAAAGGACTCAGTGTCACTAACGGGATGTACGGATCGTCCGCTCCGGTCTTTGCTGATTTCCTTGCTGCGGTCATGAGATCGGCCAAGGCGAGACCTGAGAAATCTTTTGATCAGCCGCGTCGAATGTTGAATCCGATGAGTTTTTTCTTCTTTGTTCTCTTTTTTTTTGATTTTTCTTCTCCTTTTTTTGCTTTTCTACCGTGAGATTATAAATTCTACAATTTTCGCATACATTTTCAGGATTTTCTTCTAAATTATCAATGTATGAGGGATCCCTCAACGTTAAAGAACTTTATTGAAAAGAACGAACCACTGTAGGAGGAGAAGATGTTCCACACTCCACGAGGAATGTAGAAGAGGAATGCCATTAACGAGAGGATGAACGGGACCCACTGGAAAATTGACATCAAGGTATTTTCTGAATTTTATTCGTTTTTTTAGAGAGCAATAGAAGATTGGGCATTTCTACCGCATGACCTTTGCTGTCCCTTTTTTTTTGAAGGTGAGGCTGGATTTTTTTTTGAAATCTGCCTCTTTTGAGAGATTCGGCTAAAAATTCGCCCTCGAGGAGAGGATGAATGGAGTGAGAGGGGAGTGGAACCCACTGCAAACCGGTAACTGACTGGATGATGTTTTGATTCATAATTTCTTTTTCAATAAGTCAACAATAGGGGGGCACGGCATACGCCCCCCCCCCTATTTACAGATGAAGGCGTATTATTCTTTGAGAATTTGCCCTGGTAACTAGTTTTGGTCGAAGCTTATCCTCGAGTGTGGTTTGAACTGCGAATAGTCCCTATTTTGGTTCAAAAACTTCGGGTTTCCGCACCACGGATGCTGGCACCAAACAGCATAGCCATCCTATTATACTTCCTGGCAAACTTTGAAAGATAAAATACGAAACCGTCTTTGTAAGTGGCTTCAAAAGGATTAACACGATATGGTTAGTTGAATATCTTCTCATATGAAAATAAGTTATTAGGTATTGATACTGAGTTACGCTGACGTCATAACTTCCGGCCAGAAATGTTGGTCAGATTGGGTTCACAACCTTATAATTCTATAAAAGTCGCATTTTAAAAGCTAGACTTAAAAGCTTTTAAGAGCTGATATTGTAGGAAACAAACCGCTCATTTATCACCCACGGTTGGACTACCTTACCAAAAACCTTCCGTATTATGTCCACGGAACCCTGGCTTCTATCGGAAACCATTGAAATCCATTAAAATTCTGAACTATGTATGTTTTGACTAACCCATCTAAAATAATTGGTAGCCGATCAATCAATGCTGTTGCATCGTTAATTGTCCTCACTGGTTATGAATTAGTAAACGGCTTGTGTCGTCGCTAAGTGTTACCTTGTTTATTTGGTTCAAGGTGTAACTACCGTGCAATGAACTTAAGAAAACAAACCAACGACAACATAAGAAAGTTGAAAAATATTTTTTTTTCTTTCCCACTCGTTGCTTACAGACCCTCTTCGCTTTCCAGTCTTGAAAGCTAGCAAATACCCGTATGTCTTTCAGGGTCTTCGCGGTGCTCTTAGCCTTCAAGAACTAATTGGAATAAATGCAAAAGGTAAGCCCGATGCGGGGCTCGAACCCGCGACAGCCAGATTAAGAGTCTGGTGGCTCTAAACCGACTGAGGCTACACCGGGCTGGTGCAGGCAATTCTTCACACGCACCCTTTTGACGACCCGAATACGAAGGATTGAAACAACAGGGTAATTAATGAAATCAAGATATTCATATCCGCATTCTAATTGTGGAATGAATGCCTATTGAGATGGTAGTTTGTAAAGGTAACCAATAGAGAATTGAAAAGATAGATGATTTTTTTGCCGAAATCGATAGCTGTGAACACACCTGACCTTCTTAATAACATGGTCGAGTATATTCTAAGGAGGAATTGGATAGGTAAAAAAAAAAATTAAGATACCTGGTAGTAGATCATTTCGCGACCTTCTCTCGTATGTGCTGCAGGTAGATTACTTTGGTTCATTGGCACAAAGTACGTATTCTCCACAAAGCAGTATGACTCCGAGAACACTTCCCAAACGGCCTTAAATTGGAAGTAAGGTTTTAGTTCCTCACCTTTCCGGTGTTAAAATATATATTCTTTACAAAACACATTCTGTTTGACCCAAAAATATTTTCATTATTTCCCATTGTAACATGATTTTTTTGTATTTTTTAAAATGGGCAATCTACGAGGTCGTCGGTATCTTTTTTAGTCCATTTCGCAAATGCCCTTGGGTTGTATAAAATTAACCACTGAAATATTCTTACCCTGTTTCTATAGGCTTTCTAATATGGTAATTACAGAAACTAACGTATGTAGGTCAAAATATTGGTTTTGTTGTATTGAAAACCTTTATGAAACAATTCTTACCGTCCACTGGTTAGGAACCCAGCACTGCATTGGCTCTCCAACATAGTTTTTAGCAAACAGCGTCAAGGCAAAGCCAAGGAGCATATAGATTGTGGTGACCTTCTAAATGTTCAGTTGATTGGAGTGGAGATCGATTCTGTGGGCGGAGCTATCCTTAGAAAGTGGGTAACTCACATAATTCAAACGATCTATTGAGTCATCATCGTGAGTGGATTTCACCCGTTGAATATAGTGGTTAAGGTTTGAGAGCATCTCTTCCGGGCGGCGATGGACGCCTGAAAATAATTGCGAGAGCTTTGAGAATTTTCTGAAACTGTATAAACCGGGAAATAGATGATAATGAGCAGAAACAGATATGAAGGTAATGATGTCGAGATTTTGAAGCTTAATTCACTTACTGCTCTAGCGAGTTGTCTTAGGGTGAAGGAAATCACGGTGGTATTTATTTGGAGAAGAGGGCTTGAATAATATATTAAAAAATGGAGAAAAACAATACGGTATGTGTGCCACAGGATAAGGGGTAAGAAATTCTTACGATTGCTCTATCTTCTATCTTTTCCTTTACTTAGTCAACAATTATGGGATTGGCGATTTGACTTTAATAGGCTGAATTAATTCGGACAGGACTTGAGGGCGCTCATGTCGTTAGGGGGACATCAACGTAAGTGAGCCACTTAGAGCTTGGGACTAAGCCTTAGGGAACGGTAGAAATTCTGGGGGAAGACGTTAGCAACCTTCAATCTCCCTAGCGTTTCTATCCTCAAGAGTTTAGTCCTAGTCTTATGGTCACCAACCATTGGGTGTTGAATGCGCTGTTTTGAATGTTTCCCCTAAGAATTCTCCAACTTCTCTCTTCTTGTAACCTCGGCATGTCAGTTGTAAGTTTGTTAAATTTTCTTGTGCCTTACGAGGTTGTTCGGTGGAACATTTATTAATGGCCTAACGTTTCGACTGAATCGTCGTCTTCAGAGGCCTGAACGTGTTTCAAGCGTTAGACTTACGCTCTACACCACCAAGCGCCTCATCAACTCTAGCGGTTTCGACATCGTGTCAGAAACCCCTCGAGAAGATCAGGACAGCGCAAGAAATAAACTCACCGTCGGTTCCACCCTTCGAGCGGAAAAGTCCGCTGCCACACAGAGCGCTGATCAGTTAGAACTGAAGAATACCATACTGTCTCCTTATGTCAAAAATAGTCGGGAGACGCACGTAACGCTCTGTCATTCTACAGCTCGCAGTGCGGAATGAACGGCAG